GAGGTGGTGAAATTTCTGTCCCTGGAGGTTTTCAAGAAAAAGGTAAATGTAGCACATAGGGACATGGTTTAGTGGGCATGCTGGGGATGCGTTGATGGCTGGACTAGATGATCATAGAGGCCTTTTCCAACCTTCATGATTCTGTATCTCTTTCCTCTCTCCTAGGCGGAAAACTGTTACCTTCTCTTATTCTGTCTTCTTTGAATACCATACAGAACCCACCAAAAACAACATGCTATCCAAATCCTATGCAAAATAGACCACAAGGTATAGAGGATGGACACTGCACTATTTGACTAACGCACTTTATAGACCACTTTAGTGAAATACTGTTGACTTGTCAGATACGTAACTGTTTTTTTGTTGTTGTTTGTTTGTTTGTTTGTTTGTTTGCCATGAGTGAGGAATATCCTTTTTTGTTTGATGCAGAGTTACAAAATCTTTCATGGCAATGCTTCCAATCTGTCTTATTGATGGGAAAACAGAATTACACCTGAAAGATAGAAAAGTATTGGTTTTTTTAATTTTCATGTTTTCATCATGAAGCTAATTTGCAGGTCTGCCATTTTTTCAGCCCCCAGTATCTGTATAGGAAATAATAGCTTGTAGTTATTTTCTGGCTGATTGTTCAGTAAAATCCTAGGTGCTGTATTTTTCTAGGAGTCATCCTAGATAATTACAGTTGTTTCATCAAACCCTGAAATTCTTCTGGAATATAGTGCAGCTATTTGATACATATTTAGAAGTCCTCATATGGGAATAATCATCAGAAGACAAAAAGGCTTACTAACATTACCAGAGATGGAATATATGTTTTTTCCTGCAGAAAAATAACAAGTTTAAACTCCCCTTATAGCCAATGATGTTACTTCCTGGGTAGAGATTTAGGGTCTCATGCTATTCTGGTGGTCTCTCTTCCTCATTGTTTTCCAAAACAGTGTGCTGCTGCAGCTCCCTAGCAGCAGTAATTCAACAGAAGTTTTGCTGACAGAGACTGCTGCAGGGCATCTGGTCTGAGAAGCAACAGGAACTCCAGGTTGAATGACAAGACTCAGCACGCAGTCGGTTTGTTTGCAGTATTTACTAGCTTAGGGCTTATTTATTAAAATACAGCCAAAGTCAGGATGAAATTTTAAGCCTTAGAGTTGGTAAGGTATAATTCAAAGTAGGCAGAAGCTATGTAGTTTATCCTGTGGCATTTTTTTTTCCAGGCTGAAAGAATAACTGGAGAAGCGTAGTTTCTCAGGGCTCCTGATGGGAGTGATCCAGTTTGGTAGAAAGATACATCAGTATTATCCATCAAATTTCTTCTCTCAGATTCACCAACCCTTCTTAGCCTAATCTCTATAATGCCACCACTGATGTCAGTGGCAATGGAAGTCAAGTACGCAGCACCTTGGGAGATGAGATGATCTGGCATTAGTCAGAGAGGAGTAAGCAACGGCAGGATGGAGTTCAAGTGTCAGAAGCAAGGCTGGTACCAGCCTTCTCCCTGGTTGTGTTTTTCTTCTGTTTTTGTTGTGAATCCTTTGGGATTAGGCACTGCCTTTTGTAAATCACTAGAGATGACATGATGAGCTCCCTGAAGCAAAAACATTTGATTCACTTAAAACTAAATATTTCCTCTGTGCAATTCAATATGACAGTAACAATTAACAGACAGTGAAACAAACCTCTGCACCTCGCCTGAGCATTAAGTGAGCAGTTAACATCTGAGAGTGACAATGGTTCTCCTGAGAGGAAGTCTGACCACTTCTGCGCTGAGAAGCTGGAAAGTGCCAGTAGCTCTGACTTCTGAAAGGGAGAAGCAAGGCGTGGCTGTATAACCAAGCACGTCCATTAGTAGAGCCAGGCTCCCAAGGGAGGTTCTAATGTCAGTGCCCCAGGTGAGTCAGTAGAGGTCATCAGGGATTAATGAGTGTCCTGGCATGGAAAAACAAAGTTAACATTCAAATTATCAGTCATCTTAAAGATGAGCAATTCACAAATGGCCAGTGAAAGTGATGATGGCAAATTCATTGCTACTGAGGTGACCTATGCAGACAGTCTCACAGGGGAGATGAGATTTGGACTGGTACAGACTGCCTACGTAAATAATGCTGGTCCTGCAGATGGGAAGGATCCAAGTCCTATAAATCATTCAGAAATTTACTGAGTTTCTCCTAAAAACAAATTGGCTTTTTCATCCCTGCTTCTACTAGGGGAAAGTTTCACAGCCTTGTTCATTTGCTAGCTACATCTTCTTGTTTCTAAATTGCATTTATTCATGGACAGTTATATGTAGCTGTTCTTGTGCCAATTTTGTACTTTCTTGTACCTTACTCTCCTTCCTTCCTGATGTTTTTCCTTTCAGTGTATTAATAGATACAGAGGGGATCTGACTGCTGTGTTTTGCTGAGCTGTGTGCCAAGTTCCTTTAGATCTTTTCTTGAAATCAGCTTGCTGTTTCCTCATCTTTCCTTTGTAGCACCTGTTCCTCATTACCCAGCAATTTTCCATGGTATCCCTTCTTTACTAAAGTCTAAATAAGCTTTTCTGCACTGTTCTTATTTAAAAATAACATCCAATAATAACAGCAACAGCAATAACAAAAAACAAACAAACAAACAAACAAAAAGCTATCATCTGTTTACCATCTGTTTAGAGGGGTATCACCTAGCCTATTTCTCATATGCCAGACATAGCTAATGGACTGGATATTGGGTTAGATTGGATACTAGGAAAAAGCTCCTTACCGGAAGGTGAAGCAGGCTCCCAGGGCAGTGGTCATGGCCCCAGGCTGCTGGAGTTCAAGAAGCATTTTGACAGTGCTCTCAGACACAGCGTTTGATTTTGGGTGGTTCTGTGTGGAGCCAGTGGTTGGACTCAATGATCCTTATCAATCCTTTTCAACTTGGGATACTCTGTTTCCCCTGTTGCTGGTCAAAAGGATGGAGAAAAGTCAGGAGTGATGGCGTGGTGTTCAAACTGGGAAAAATGGCATGGAATGTAGGGGGTGTTTTAATGTTTGGTTTTGTATTATAGTACCCAAACTGGCAGGAAATCATATTAATTTTCCCCAAGGTGACTCTATTTTGCCAGTGATTGTAACTGGTAATTGACCCCCCACTATTTATTTTGACCCACAAGACATTTTGCAATATTTTTTTCTGTTGTTTTGCTGAGGAGAGTGGTTGAGAGAAAGGTTGGGACTTTGACCCTTAGCCAAGGATAACCCATCACAATTCCATGAGACAAAAATCTAAAAGAATTTCCAGACAGCTATAGGAGGTCATTCTTAGGTAAGTATACTGGAAGTAACATGAAGTAACATTATATTAATTCCTCCATACCAAGTACTATCCCACTTCACTGCTGTGGAAATCCACTAATACCATATTGGTGTGATTTTGAAATGCTGGAACTGTGGATAAATTAGTAAGGGTATTTATTTATTTTTTTTTCCAGTTAAATAATGAAAATATGGAAGGTTTTAAAACATAATTCTTGCACTTGTTTTGGAAGACATTAACACCAATATAATTCATTCACCTTCCACCATTGTGCAAGAACAGTGTAAGGAATAGAAAGATCACACAGTTAAATGCTTTGGTTGACAGCATTTTTAAGTGGCTGTTGTGTGTTTAGAATTCTGTAAACTGAAGAACAAATGCAGAGTTTTCATTTCCAAGCCTAAAATGGATACCAGAAATTGCCAGAGATCATGCTGGGACTATTTCCAGGTGGACAAGGACCTACAGGATTGATTATGTAGGGTAATGAGAGATTTCCACTGTAAGTTTCCACTAAAGGTTTTTTTCTCTCCTCATCAAACCGTTCAGCTTTTAATCCAAAAGAGAGAGATCTAGGTTGTTCACTACTACATAGCAAGTAAAGATTTTATTGGTAACTGTAACCTCTATAGCTGTTGTTTATTCAGCAATTCAAATAACACTGGGCTTTCTAACAGTTCATTTCCATGTACTGTTGTACGTACTTTCCTGAAGAAGTAATTCAGCTGTCTTAATGTCTTCAGGATAGACCTTTACAATTCTGATTTTTGTGTTTAGAGGCTGAACACAAATCAGGATGAAAATATCTTCAACCACTTGCGGAGATAACCCTGTTGTGAGGAATTTATAAATGAACAGACCAAACACACTGTAGGAAGGAAAATGCAAAGAAAGAGGCATTGGCATTGGCATGGCTTTTCAGCATCTCAGTGGGAGAGCTGCAAATAAACAGAGGTGTCCTGTGCTACACAGGAGCTTATATGCACTGCCTGTTATTCCTTACTTATGAAAGTGCTGACAAGGGAAAATTCTGTAAGTTTCTTTCTCTGTTTGAACTGAGCTCCTGTTTTCAAACTTTCTGAAGTGTCCTGCATCTTCTGTAATGAGCTGGTGAAACTGCTGGTGTTTTCTTCTCTTTTGTCATCCTTCACTTAAAGTAGGAATCACCTACAGAATAGCAAATAACTAGAACACAACTTCTTTAGATATGATTAAAGCTAATGACATTATGTTGTGTTCCTGTATGGAACAGAATAATGATAATACCTATGTATGAAATGAGTTTTTCCAGGTCTGAGATGAGAACATTTGTTTTCTTTCTGCAGGAGTTTCCTCTTCCCTTATTTTGTATTAAGTATTTGTCTCTCTTTATTTGTTTCTCTGATCAGTGTCTGATCTCACTGCATTTTACCACAGATCTTTCTTAACTCCTCTTTTCCGTACAGAAAGCCAAGATCTTTTTACAACCTTTCCTTATCAGTCACACATTTGGTCTCCATGTCTACTCAGACTGCTGTGAAATAGGATGATCCTGATTAGCAGCAATATAAATTATGACTGTAGCTAAAATTACACAGCAGAAGAAAAGGTTCAGTATTTCTGAGCATTTCAGTTCTTACAGGGGCTTTTGTTTGTCTATGGATACCTAAGATGTTTTCTCAAAGATTTTTTTAAGTCAGGTCAAGCCAACTGTGTAACAGCATGCCATTTCTAATCCTTTCTTCTCAGGTATTACCAGATAAGAGCTGGACTGAAGATTCCATCCAGGATTCCCCACAGGCTGTTTGCTACAATTGCAGAACAGACAGGTAAACTGGTCCCTGAGGACTCTGACATGACTGCAGATGGTGTGACACAGAGAAGGAGGATGTGTGTGGGGAATGGGTGAAGGATGGCCATGAATTTCTGAGTCTGACCTGGATTTTCTTTATGATCTGTGGCTGCTCTTGACTTCATTCTGGTGTGGGATGTTACTCAGACTTCAGGTGTACAGCAGTGGTCCAGGAAAGCACTGTGCAATCCAGATATTACTTAGATGTATATGTATATATATTTTTTTTCCTGGAGTTGCAAGATCTGGGGAGCTTTATGAATTGGGCTGGGACTGAAACATTGACAAAACAAAATTGTATACCGTGGGAAAATTGTTCATTCAAAGACAGTTCTTCACTTCTTGCTGTAAAAATGTACACAGTATTGTGCAATGTCTCCCTCATGCCCTATAGAAGTGGGAACATCTAAGTTAATGAACACTAGTGAGTGCTGACAGAAACCTTTCCAAATCCATGGCCAAGTTCAGACTGAAGGAAACTGATGAAGACTTGGATTATGATCTTTAGTGTAAAGATATCCACTGATAAAGCGATGTCCTACTGTAGGTCAATTGCAGAGTTTTCCAATAGATGTTCTCCTTATATATCTTATAATTTTGACATTTCCAGACACGCATCACAACAATTGCCAAAGCATCAATTAATTTATTACCAACATAGATTCTGTAAGTACTTGTAAAATTTAAACTGAATTTTCTCTGCTGGGATTCCATGTCAGAAAATCAGTGGAAATTCATGCCCTCTTATTTTATCTATGATTTTCCTTGCTGACAGTGGAAGAAGTTGTTTCGCTATTCTATGAGATTCCTGGATGAAAATTGTGTCAGTGTTAATGACAGCTTGTACAGAAAAACCAATAGACTCCTTTTCAGTATTGCTCTGAGAGGACAAAAAACTGTGAATGTAAGATTGATGAGTTCTTCAGTTTGAATATTACATCAAACATAAAAATGCATTTTTTATTATTTTATTACTTTTTACATTTGAACTGATCCAATTAAACATTCTTTCGTGGATTAAATATTCACATCCTTTAATATTTTTTTCCAATTTGAAAGTCTGGTTTAATTAACTAAGATTTAATTATATACTGAAATATAAAATAATTATGGAAACTGTATTTTTATAAAATACAAATAATTATAAAAAATCCAAAGTTGTCTGAAAAAAAAAAAAAAAAAAAAAGATTCAAGAACTCAAACTCTGAGTAAAGAAATTATTTCTGAAAAAAAAAAAAAAATCTATCTCAGTTTGATATACCTTTTTGTATGAAAAAATCCTTAAGGAAGTAAGAAAATGATTTTTCATTTTGTTCTAGTGTTCCTTCATTCTCTGTAAATATCCTAAATTTTCAGCAGATTCTGGCATAAGCAGTCTAGAACTAAAATTCTGGAGGCTGGTGGCCCTGCCTGTGGCAGGAGGGTTGGAACCTGATGATCCTTGGGGTCCCTTCCAATCCAAGCCATTCTACGATTCTATGTGAAGTATAGCTAAAACTTTTCTTTGTATGGAAGAAAAAAAAAACAAAAACAAAAACCCAGCAACACAAAGAAACAATAAAAAAACCCCACACTCCTATTCTGTATTGCACTAAGAATGGCAATTTTATGTAAAGAAAAAACTGAACCATTTTCTCCCTTTCTGTTTTAGTCATGTCAGTATTTTCTTTTGCCTGATACACCTCAGTGTTCTGTTTCCTTTCACTTCTTCTCAAAACAATTCATATTAGGCATGAATAGCAGAGAGGCGAGGCAGGCAGTGTGGTTACAGAATTAGCTGCTGACTTGCACAGTGCTAATGAAATCCAGACTGGAGTTTAATAGCTTTATAGAGATAACATAAAGACAGGGGGTTAAAACTTTAAATGTTTTCTTCTTAGCTATCTATGCAAGTACTTAATTGATTTCATAGGTCTGTGAGAGAGCATTATTTAATGGGACTGAACTTAATGGCAAGGAAGAGGTAATATTCTTCTAATTCTCATGCCAATGAACACTCTCTGAGTTTGGGCATAGCTGGGATAGGAGGTAATTAAATTTCTTCTAGTGTTTCCTAGCATAGCAGTACTATACTAATACAGGGTGGCATTATACAGAATCACAGAGTCATAGAATGATTTGGGTTGGAAGAAACCTCAAAGATTACACAGTTCCAACCCCCCTGGCATAGGCAGGGCTGCCAAACCAGTAATCAGGCACTAGATCAGGCTGCCCAGCAACCTGTCCAACCTGGCCTTGAGCGTTTCCAGGGATGGGACATTTACATAGTGAATAAATTCCTAATTCACCTAAAAGAATGAAGGCAAAAGTAGTTGAGTTTGGTGTAAACAAAATCTTTTTGATCTTTCCCTTATCAGGTTCTTAGCATCATGAGAACTAAGTAAAACTTCGTAGAAATCATTAGTAGTAATATTTTTCTTCCAGTGCATGCAACATTTTAAATTAACTTCTGTGGGATTTGCAATAAAACTATTAGAACTGACAGCATTAGCAATGTTTAGTTTGCAACCTGCTAGGTATTTTCAGATGCATGATCAGAAAAGACATAATTCTGAAGAATTCAGCAGAAGTGAAGCCACTGTGTAGCAGTTGCCAGCATGCCCAGGGCAGAACTAGGCGTACAGGAGTTCTAATGAACTACCACATGGTCCATAAGTCTGCTGCATCCTGACTATGACTATGTTGTAAGAAAAGAATGAGCTATGTACACCAGCTAAAACAATAGAAAAGTGTGCTGAGGACCAGTATCCCTTATATCTTGGCATTGTAGATCATTAAGGCTGCACATTATCTTGTGTTGACTCAGACTGTAGCATATACATATATACATGTAAATATAAATACATAAAAGTATATACAATTATTTAATATCTCTCACCATTGTTAGTCACAGAATCACAGAATTGCAGGGGTTGGAAAGGACCTCAAGAGATCATCGAGTTCAACCCCTCTGCCATATTAGGTTCCCTAGAATAGGTTGCACAAATAGGTGACCGGGCAGGTCTTGAATATCTCCATAGAAGGAAACTTCACAACCTCTCTGGGCAACCTGTTCCAGTGCTCCATCACCCTTACTGTAAATAAGTTCTTCTGCATGTTAGCATGGTACTTCCTTTGTTCAAGTTTTAGGCCTTCAATTCTTGTCCTATTGCTATGCACCACCAAGAAAAGAGTGCAGTGCATTTCTTTAAAAACAAAAGTATCCTGGTGACTAGTGACTTCCTCAGTGCTGAAGAGGAGAAAGGGAACAAGGCTGGCTGAGCACAGCCTTTGGTTTCTTTCATGTTGGCTTTGAAATCCCATGAGATTTAGCTTCATGTCTCTGAATAGGCATCGTGACTGATGGAGCCTGCTTTTAGCTTATGAAGAGCAAGCTATGCTTACTACTTTTTCTTGGCATGGAAACTTTATCAGTTTCAGCGTCAGTTCTGAAGGGCTGAGCTGATGTAGATGTGTCTTAAAGCCAAACTCTAAAAGCGCCTTTTTGAGTGGATTTTTTTTTTTTTTTCATCAGAATGGTTTATTAAAATTGTGGTACAACGATGTTCACCTGCAGCATACATAGAATCATAGAATCATAGAATCACCAAGGTTGGAAAAGACCTAAAAGATCACCCAGTCCAACCATTCACCTATTCTCAATAGCTCCCACTAAATCATGTCCCTCAACACAACATCCAGTCTTTCCTTGAACACCCCCAGGGTCGGTGACTCCACCACCTCCCTGGGCAGTCCATTCCAGTGCCTGACCACCCTTGCTGAAAAGTAATACTTCCTCATGTCCAGCCTGAATCTCCCCTGCCATAGCTTGAAACCATTCCCTCTGGTCCTATCACTAATGACACGAGAGAAGAGGCCGACCCCCAGCTCACTACAGCCTCCCTTCAGGAAGTTATAGAGAGCAATGAGGTCTCCCCTGAGCCTCCTCTTCTCCAGGCTGAACATTCCCAGCTCCTTCAGCCTCTCCTCATATGGCCTGTGTTCCAGACCCCTCACCAGCTTTGTTGCCCTCCTTTGAACACGTTCCAGGGCCTCAATATCTTTCTTGCAGTGAGGGGCCGCATTCAGCATTAGGCTGAATGTGAAAAGCAGACAAAGGATCTGGGAAAGTGAAAGCAGCATCTCATAGCAGCATATTGGTATAATTCACTCATTGGCTGAGTTGTTTTGTGATAGGCTAAATGTCTTCCAGAGGAGTTCGAACTATTGTATAAATTTTAGCACAGGAATTCGGAGAAATATGAACATGCATTAAGTGTTAACCTGAACTTCCTCTGACACAACTTAAAGCCATAACATCTTCCCCTTGTTTTTATAGATTTTCACTTGTTCAACTTATAAATAAAAGGGCACAGATGACTTTGTTCAAGACAGCTAGTAACCTGTTAAAGGGAGGATCTTCCATGTGTCTGAAGTGCTGAAGAGTGAGTGGTCATATTGATGAGTTGTGTCTGCAGCCATGTGTTGGAGGGCCTTCCCAATAAGGAGCTGACCCATCATGATCACAGTCTCCTCAGTCTCTTCATATGCTTTAGTTTCAGGTTTAGGTATTTCTGGTTGATGATTTTTATGATAATCTGGAGACTTCACCAAACATCTGAGCAGAAAAAAAAATTAGAGTCTAAAATAATAAGAACTAAATGTAAACAATTCAGGAAGCTGCAATTTTATTTTTGTATGAGGACCATGAGCACTTCTTCAGACTTTTTCTAAAAATACTTATGGATGGTGAATTTTTAGGACAAGAGGTAATGGCCTCAAGTTGCACAAATAGAGGTTCAGGTTGGATACTGGGGAAAGTTTATTCTTAGAAAGAGCAGTTTTGCACTGGAACACGCTGCCCAGGTAGGAGGTGGAGTCATCATCCCTGGAGGTGTTCAAGAAAAGTGTAGATGTAGCACTGAGGGGCATAGTTTAGTGGGCAATATTGGTGATAAGTGGACAATTGAGCTAGATGATCTTAGAGGTCTTTTCCAA